TCTGGCGGAGCGACTGTTTAATGGTCAATCTGACTGGCGCGATCGGGACCTACATTCCAGAGCGGATTACCTGACCAAAGCCCTAACCTCCGCCTGTGCGGCGTCCATGCCGCCGGTGAAGCCTAGAGCCTTGAAACTTCCTCCCTGGTTTACAGTGGAGTTGTTAGAGGCTCGACGGCGGATGCGGCGGCTTGGGGGTCGCTTGGCGTCGGCTAGGGCGGCGGGAAATGTGGAGGAAACCGAACGGTTAGGCCGAGAGTACAGGGTATGCAGGAACGGGTACACGTACCGAAAGAGGCGTGAACAGCTGAAAACCTGGCGAGAGTTCACTACCGAAGAGGGTAACTCTAAGCCTTGGGGGTCCGTATACCGTTGGTGTAGGGACGGAGCGAAAGCCGATGTTCGCGGCGTTCTGACCACTCTCCGAAAGGGGAGCGGTGAGTTCACCGTGGGCTTGGTGGAAACTGCGAGCCTACTGCTTGAGTCGTTGATTCCCGCTGACAGCGCCGAGGGAGAGACCGATCACCACGCCCGGATCCGCGAGGAAACGAGCTTGGTGGCCGGCCGATCTGCGACGTTGGGCGGAGGATCGGAGGCGGAAAGCAGCCAACTGGGAGAGCCGGAATTCTCAGCTGTAGAAGTGAGACGAGCGGTATGGCGTATGGGAAGGGACAAGGCCCCGGGGTACGATGGCGTAACAGCCAGAGTCCTCCGGGTGGCTTGGCCGGCTATTGAGGAATCAGTGACCGCTCTTTTCAATGAGTGTTGGCACAGAGAGCAATTCCCTGAGTGTTGGAAAGTTGGGTGGGTCATCCCGTTGCTGAAGGCCCCAGACAAGGACCGGTCGGACCCCAAGTCCTACCGACCGATCACGTTACTTCCAGTGTTGTCAAAGGCGCTGGAGTACCTGTTCTGTCGGAGGCTAAGGTTGCAGGTCGGCCCGAGTATGAGTCCAAATCAGTACGGTTTCACGAGCAAGCGTTCCACGGTCGATGCAATACTGAGTGTGAGGGAATGGACCGAAAGCCGGGCGGAGAAGTACGTCCTGGGGGTGTTTCTAGACATCTCCGGGGCGTTCGACAACGCCTGGTGGCCGGCAGTCTTGCATCAACTCAAAAGGTTGGGAGCTAGCGACAAGGTGGTGAATTTGACCAGGCAATATCTGGCGGGGAGAGAGGCGGTGATGACTGCGCCGTCGGTTGAGGTTCGCCGACCTCTGTCCAAAGGGTGTCCCCAAGGCTCGCAGTACGGACCGGAGCTCTGGAAGGTTCTGATGGACTCTCTTTTGAGTTCGGAGGAATTGGACAGTGAAACCATCATTGGCTACGCGGACGACGCGTTGCTTTTGGTGGCCGGAAGGTCTCGAGCTGAGGTCATCCGAAAGACAGAGGCCAAGTTAGTCAGAGCGAGTGAGTGGGCCCGCGGTATGAAACTGTCCTTCTCGGTCACAAAGACGAAAGTCATGTGCCTGAAAGGTCAGTTGACTCCGCCATTCACCGTTAGGATGGGGGCTTCCAGGCTAAAGGAAGTGACTTCCATGCGCTACTTGGGGGTAGAATTAGACGATAGGTGGAGCTACCGGGATCACGTGCTGAGCGTAGTAAGCTCGTCCGCGCCGATGTTTCAGCGGGTACGACGCGTGGTCGCCTCTAAGTGGGGGATCAGTGCACGCATCACGCGGATGTTATACCAGTGTGTATACCTCCCGAGGGTGCTGTACGCCTCCGAGCTTTGGGGCGAGCGAGCGTTGGACCCGAGACTGAGAGTCATGATTCTCCGGGCACAGCGGAAGGTGCTCTTGGCAGTGACGGGCGCATACGGTACCACAAGTACCGAGGCGTGCCCGGTGCTGGCAGGTGTCCTACCGCTGGACCTAGAAATCGTGAAGCGCGGTCGAATGGCTCGCTGCAGGAGGAGGAACGGCTCGGTAGAGGAAGTGAGGGAGCTGGAATTGGAGGCGGTGAGAAGTTGGCAGACCCGCTGGTCAGAGTCAGTAAAGGGTAGGCCTCTGTATAACTTCTTACCGGAGGTGGAAGATCGGTTGAGGTGTAGTTGGCTGGAGGTGGGCCATGATGTCTCGCAGTTCCTTACCGAACACGGGGCGTTTATGGCCTACCTTCACCGCTTCGCAAAATCTGCGACCGACGAATGTGCGGCATGCGGGCGCGTCGACACCGCATTACATGTGGTGTTTGACTGTGCCGGCGTGTTGGACGCTAGACGGGCGCTGATAGCCGATCTGGTGAGGGCAGGAGTACCTTGGCCATGTGAGCCACGTGCCCTTGTGCGGAGCGAGGGGGCCTTTCGGGCCTTCCAAGTGTTCGTGCGAGCGGCCGTGGCGGCACGCGGTCGGATAGTGGGTGACGTGTGATGCACGACCCATGGGTCTGCAGGCGTACTGGGTACGTGGGGTGTGTCCTGGAGGTGCGCGGCAAAATTGTCCGCAGGAGTCCAGGGGACGACGGAGGGCCAGGCGGCGCACGCTGGTGAAAACCAGCGACGCCGTTGGAGGCACGATAAGATGCGCGACAGCTGGCAACTGTCCGTAGAAGCCCAGGGGGCTTGGAGTGGCCGAAGGTACGGTAGACGGTCACCCGTTTAGGGCAGACGCTGCGGTCCCACGGTCTTAGCGGTGCACGGTATATCCTGCAGGCGTACCGGGTACGTGGAGGTGTGTAAAGGTGCGCGGCAAAATTGCCCGCAGGAGTCCAGGGGACGACGGAGGGCCAGGTGGTACTGGTTGGCGTAAGCCGACGGTCTGCTGGAGGCACGATACGATGCGCGACAGCTGGCAACTGTCCGTAGGGGCCCAGGGGGCTTGGGGAAGTCGAAGGTACGGTAGAAGGTCACCCAGTTATGGGTGGACGCTACGGTCCCACGGCCTAGTGATGCACGGTCTTACCTGCAGGCGCACCGGGTGCGAGGTGAGGCCGGAGTAAAACAGCACGGCCGGCCGGCCTGGTCAGGCATGCGCTGACGCGCGGTGAGTCTACGTCCTAAGGGAAGTATCTTGCCGGGCGGGGTGCGTGTCTGGTCGGTAACCGGCCCCAGAGCGGGTCTGTTGGCGTGAGTCGCGGAGAGTAGCTCGGTCTGAACGAGAGGTCGTGACTGACACGCCTGGTGGTATCTACCGCCAGGTTAGCACGGGCCCACCACTAGCCCTACTAGGTTTCCGTGAAAGTTAAATAGTCGGGAGGCGGCGCGGTTAGTTCAGGGGTACCGCTCACCCTCTGAATGATTATACCCATGTAAAACATGGCTCCGTCGAAGCGGCAAACTGGTGGCCGTGCCTGTGTGCATATATTCCAGGTAAAACCAGTACTACGGGATAATTGTGGATGGGGGGTCGGAAGGCGGCCGATCTCACGCCCAATTTGCGGTTGGATTCGTAGTGGCGGTCGCGTAAGTGACTTTGGTGGTTAACGACAGAATGCTTGTCGGACGAAGTCTCACGGGTGAGGCATTTGACCCCCGGGTGATCAGTCACTCTGTCTGTGGGAGGATAATCACAGACGGTTGCGGTGAACCAAATCATCGCGCCGGTGAGGATAGCACCGGGGCCCCACCCAAGGTCGGCGGACGAGACCAGACCATCTCTAAGCCATTGGGTAGCCTAGTGAAAAACCACTGGGAAGATGGCATTGGTTTGCGGGTTCCAGCGCCCTTGGGTTGCTGTAACACGTAGGCCATAGCCTGATCAGGGGCGGCTGCCGGCAATAGCCGTCAGTCTCATGCGGCGATGCTGGCTTCTTAGGAAGTTGGTGCCTCCGTCTGGGGTAACGAGAGAAATCTCATAGACCTTTAGCCGGGGTGTAGGACCTATGTCCACATTCGGAACTTCTGCACTACTGCGCAAGGCGAAGATTCAATCGTGGAGGTCATTCTGCTCAGCGGATGGTACCAACCCGTGGGGTAAACTTTACAGATGGCTCAAGAAGGGCTCTAAAGAGTCATCAATCTTGAGAGCTCTACAGCGCACCGACGGGACCTTGACGACCAATGCGACTGAGACCGTTCATCTCCTAATGGACACACTTATTCCGCATGATGTCGCCCCGCCTGCTCTTCCTGCCCCGGCTGGACACCGTAATCCGATCATGGCAACGAAGGAGTTGCTGAGATTAGCTCTTTGGAGAACCGCTCCGACTAAGGCGCCTGGCCTGGATGGCATAAACGCCAAAATGGCTCGCATGGCTTGGCCGATTATTGGTGACCAATTTTACGCTTTAGTTCTAGAGTGCTTTCGGAACTGCCACTTCCCTGACAGGTGGAAAGAGGCGGAAGTTGTAGTCATTAAGAAGGGACCAGAAAAGGACCCCACGGTGCCGAAATCCTACAGACCGATCAGCTTGCTTCCCACGCTGTCCAAGGCTGTGGAATATGTGATCTGTGATCATATCACACGGGAAATTCAGCCAAACCTTAGCGGCCTCCAGTATGGTTTCACAAAGGGACGATCTACAGAGGATGCAATTCAGGACCTCTTATCCTTTGTTGATGAAACTCCGGAACGGTACGCCCTATGTTCTTTGTTGGACATATCCGGAGCTTTCGACAATCTCGTATGGCCCTCCTTAATGAGGGATATGACGGCGCTTGGTTGCTCTATTGATTCGATGGCCATTACCCAGAGCTACCTGAGTAATAGACTGGCCACAATCACCCTTGGTGGCGTCAGACATTCAGTCAGGCTAACGAGGGGTTGCCCTCAAGGCTCTTTGTTTGGTCCATTGTTATGGTCTATTACCATGGAGGCGTTGCTCCGTCTACAACTACCCAGACACACAAGGATTCAAGCCTACGCAGATGACATTGCAATTGTCACAACGGCGTCATCCCGTGCGGAGCTCATTGCGCGAGCAGAAGAAACCCTCCTGCTCACCCATAATTGGGGCGCATCTCATGGTCTGCAGTTCTCGACCCAGAAATCAACCGCGGTATTGCTAAAATCCAGACTAGTAATAGGTTTCACGCTGAAGTTCGGAGATGGGCGCATCAGAACAAGTGATAACGCTAGGTATCTAGGCGTTATCCTTGACCAGAAGCGGACCTTCTTCCCGCATATCAAGTCAATAGAAGAGAAGGACTATGATCCTTTCTCCAGGCTACGAGGTTCTTTCGGTTCCGACTGGGGAAACGATCACCTTACAGGTGGAAGCATACGCAGACGACATCGCGATTGTCACAACGGCGTCATCCCGTGCTGATCTCATTGCTCGAGCTGAGGAGACACTCCTGCTCACCCATAATTGGGGCGTAACTATTGAATATAATTAATATTGTTTATTTGGGTCATGGAATATAAGTAATAAATATTATATAACCTTATATGGTATTATATGTGTACACTGAAGAAATCATGAGTAATATTTAAGTTGTTTTATACAAGGACCAATTACATCTGTAACCTAGATTATATCATATATAAGACATAGTATTAAGGTGTTGGATTGACTATTCTATTACGGCTGCTGTTATAATTGTAACGTACGTTGTATACATATATTATTCTCTATACTGTGTGTGTTTTTTATGTTTAATAGTATTGTGTTCAAACATATTGTTGCGTTTTATTTTCTACTTAAATACTACCTTCCACCAAGATATACAGGCGTATATCGCAATAAATTTTAATTTTGCTGGGCAATATGTTGTTGATTTTGCCGTTTGAGCGCTAATAATCAGTGAGTATTTCATAATTTCGATAAGAACCTCTGCCGCTGTAAGCTGCTGCAAATTAGCATTGGCCGCCGTCGTGAACCATTCTATCTATAATCATGGTTGTGACCACGGTCTTAGAATTAAATATAATAATAAATATTAAATACTATAGTATTAAAAATAATTTAATTACTTATTTTTTGAATATACAATAATAATTTTAAGTGTAATTTAAATTGATTTATAGTAATTATATTTTATATTTTTGACTACTTAATCAACAATATTTTCTATAACACTTGAATAGTTTAATTAAACAGTTTTTAGACCAATATTATCTAAATGTTAATTGAGAATACGTAATGTAATAAAAAGTTTTTGGTGTTATTTGTAATTTCATTATTTGCAAATTAATTAATTAATTTTTTATTTAACTCTAATATTAATTGTAATTTTGTGTGATAGCATTTGAGTGGTCCAAGGAGCTTATTTTATAAGTTCACTTTTATTTATCGATAAAATAATGGTATAGGATATGAAAGTCATAAATAATTAATTTTAATTGTTTATATTTTCTCTAATATTTTTTTTTAGTTATTGATAAATTACTACCATTATTAATATTATTATAAGATTGAGATTTATCGCTTTCATTGTTTTTATTATATAAGGGTCTGATTGGAAAACAGGCAATTGACCAAACAAAACCCATTGTTGTAAAACCAAAATCATCTCAGCTTTGCATCAGCTAAAAATTTAGTACATACAACAAGCTGTCCCGTCCCGGCGTTGCCCGTGTATTAGAATAGACACACAGTCAGCTGTTCGGATCACTGTATCCCTGTGGTATGAAAAATCATAGAGATGTATTGATAACTATTGATAATTTTAATTAATAAAAAATGAAAAACGTGTTCTAGCAAATCAAATTCTGAATCTAAACCTTTCTCGAATCAACTTAATCGCGGACACAACATTTCATAAACATCTGTCCAGCCGTTTAGTAGGAGTTTGCATACTTACACACGGACAGAAGAAATGTACATATAAAAGAAGATTAGTGGACTTTAAGAAGAATTTGTGTGCTATTTTTGTTTAGTACATTTATTTTATATTATATATTGAGCTATTAGAGTGTAATAATTATTCAATAGTATATACATTTTTGGTAGTATATAAATTTATCAATAGACAAATATTTCTATCAATTTTGTTTTTAAAATTTAAGTACCTAAAAAATGCTATGTTATATAATCAAATAAATACAATTATAATTAGTTGTTACAATGTTGAATTAACATTATTGTAACTTATTAGTTTCTACAATCGTCATTAAATTTAATCATTATTGTTTAAAAATCAATATAGTCAAATGAGATAGATCATAACTCCTTAATAATATGCGATGCTGGCAACACAACAAACGCTGTTAATAATTGTGTACTGTGTACACATATTTTCAAAGTTGGTGTCACTGACATTAGGTTTTTTTGTCCGGCGGGATTTGTCGTGCTCCCGAATATACATATAAATATACAGAATAGTCAATAGGTCTATGTGTCTTTAATTATGCTAACTTATCATAGCAATATTATTATAAATGTGAGGTTGATAGGTTCAACTGTTCAAGTAATTAGGATTAATAGTACAAAAAAAAAAATGGTGGGTATGAGGAGGACGTGAAAAATCGGATAAATTGTGGATGGATAAATTTGAGGGGAATGTCAGGTGTTTTGTGTGACAGGAGTGTGCCTATAAGATTGAAAGGTTGATTTTATAAGACGGTAGTGAGGTTAATGCTAGGATGTTGGGCAGTACCTAAGAAAACGGAACAGATGATGAGTGTAGCACAGATGAGAATGCTAAGGTGGATGAATGGAGTGATTATGGTGGATGGAATAAGAAATGATTACAGGGCAATCTAGGAGTTGCATCAATTGTGGAGAAAACGAGAGAGAATAGGTTGAGATGGTTCGGTCATGAGGAGAGTTGTTACGAAGATGAATGTAGAGGGAGGGATAGGAAGAGGAAAACCGAAAAAAAGATTAATAGATGGGATATAAAGTGATATGAGGATATCTGGGGCGATTGAACGAGATGTAAAAGACCGAGCTCTATGGAGGTGGAATACTAACGTAGCTGACCCCACGTACTTTGGAGTGTAAGGCAAAGATGATGAAGAAGAAGATAACTTTTAAAAATAGTCAAATTAGTTACAAATTTGTATGAATTATTCGTTAGACATAGTACCTTTGATAAACGTTGGCAAACCAAAAAAATATCATAAACCCTCTCCCCTAGAAGGGGTGGAAACTTTTTCTTTAATTTTCTATCTGTTTTTTCTAGGAAACTTGGGCAGAAGCTAGATTTAGCGTGGTGCTATAAAATGTTTTATTTTCTTAAAAAACTATAATAAAAACTTTTTAATTATTAAGGAAAACCAAAAAAAAAAGGGAAAATTACCCTTTGTCCATAGTTAATTTCCAAGTTGTTACGTCTGAGTGAATAATTAATCAAGAGTGAAAAGTTAATGGGTATTGCAAATATTTTCATTGTATAGTTGACAGTTTGTTGAAAAAACATTTTTTTTTTGCATATTGGACAATATTTAACTGGTTTTTTAAAGAGTATTATTAAGATTTTATTATTGCATATTAGCATAATATTTTGAACCTATTAAAATCTAAAAATACGCTCTCTAGTTATTAAGAACATACTGTTGCGTTGCCGTATAAGATGGCTTCTAGAATAATCGCGACTACAGAACGCCACACACGTTGTAACATATTAATATTATATCTATTATAAGTCGATATCAACTTATATCAGTACAGATATGAAACGATAACTATGTTCACTGAGCAGTATATTTGCGCAGCTATTAAATAAAATGACGCATTTTATGTACGAATTTGAAACTTACCAATTAAAACCAAATATATATTAAATATATACATTGCTCATGATAGAATAATACAATTAACTACTGTAAATCGAGTTGTATAAAGTTATATTTAACTTTTGAAAACAAATAAACATAGAATAATTAACAGGGTAATTTGTTTAAATCTTAAATTATTTAAATATGTATAAAAGAACTTTTGGTGGTCACACAATAGAAAAAGTTACATACATTATCGAATGGAGGTTTAATTTTATTTTTAATAGTCCGCTAAATAAAATATTAATAAATTTAAATTTTTTATTCATAGTCTTGATAAGAATAAATTAACAGTCTTATAATATAAGATTAGTGATATTACATTGATAGGAAAAAAATTGTGATTGACATGATTTTTTTTCTTCTAAATTTTATTAGTTTACAACTGCAGATAACACGTGCGTCAGTATCTCTACATTTTGAATCTGATAATAAATTGAAATAAACAATGTGGAAAAAAAAGTTTAATTAATGAGCGTTAATCAATCCTGGAAAAGCAAAAGAAGTTTTATTTTAATAACAGAAATTAAAAAAGAGAAATTGTATTTTTTATTTTAGAATAACGGGCAAACAGTAAAAATGTGTTTTGATATTAATTAAAACTAGTTGCTCTAATAATTTAAATGTAATGTATTATTAACAAGTTTGTTTTCATATAATTAGTATTTTTTCGAATTTTAAAGAAAAAAAATTAAGATAAATATATTAACTTGTAGGACCTAAATATAAAAAAGTTATATTATCAGATAAATTATATTTTAAATATGATTTTAAATATTATATATACAAAATAGTATTAATGTTAAATAAAGAAATTATTATTATAATTCTTATTACATACATATAAAGATGCACCTATACTAAATAAAATTATGTTAAATTTTTTATTAGGTTGACAAAATAAATAAAGGCAAAAATTTAGCATAATATAAAAAGCTAACGTGGGCATTCAGTTTACTGTATACCATATAAAAGACATGTGAAAGAGCAGTTCAGTGACAACATATTTGTCTTTATGGTTTACATTGCAGGAAAACAATTAACAATAATTAAATTGTTTTAATAGTTATTATAATTAAAACTTGTTTAATAAGAGAATTTATTTTTACCGCAGTTTTGTAGTACTATATAGAATATAAATATATAACGCATTGTTACAATAATGCAGAACATGAATTTAGTGTACAGTAAAATGAAGAGATCAAATTAGCAATAAATATTATGTTTTAGATATTGGTAATACAAGCGACGAACAATCAAGGGTCCAGTGGATACTGAATATTTAGGTAATAAACTATAAAAACAGAATTTAATGTTAATCATCAAAAAAAACAAATCATAGTAACAACAAAACAGTAAATTTAAATGGTAAACATAAAAGACAATTTACATTAAAAAAAAAAATAATAATAATCACACACATATATATATATATATATATATATATGGTGCGGGTCACGGAGAATTGAAGGGTTTGAATACATTTTGTACATAAATCCTCATCATCCCCTCTGCATATATTCCCCAGGAACTTTTACTTTTTAAGGTATCAAAACAATTTGGATTAAAAAAAATTTTAATTAAAAAAAAAAACAAAATTAATTTTTTATTGATGCAACTAAATTATATTATTTCATTAAAATAGATAATATGAAATCAAATTAACTGTAGATTATATTTAAGAAAATAACAGTAGATATAATTCCCTGGTATAGGTCATCTAATCTTTTAGAATTTTACATAAATCATAAACGTATAAGTTATAGACAAGGACTCAATATAATGATAAGGTACAGCTGGTGCAGAAAACCCAATTAGATGGCGGATGGCAATCATGAATGAGTGTTAGACAAAGGTTGTTCAGACGATGTAGATTTCTGAACGGACGATGCCGATGGCGATTTGTCTTCTGGTATTGGCGATGATGACAAAGAGGCAGCATTCGAAGGTGAACACTGATTGGATGGTGGAGTGTCTTTGCGGGGCGGCATCCGTTCGTTAATGGCATCCAAACCTTTAGCTTCTGCAAACGATGTGATCTTATGGTTGGGTGAGAAGCCTTGAAGTGCTGAAAATATCATCCGTGTTGATCAATATTATTTTTTAATACACTCATACACAGTTTTGACAAATTGATATTTTATTGTTTTTAGATTTTTCTTACCATTTTTAAGTGATGTCTTGCCACCAGATAGTGCTCCTAAAGGAAGAGCCCCGGTCGGTGTCAGTCCCTTCAGTTGCAACACACTCTCGCTCTCTTCCCTGTAGACATACTCGATCATAATAAAAAAATATTTTCTAACATTTCTATTGATTTTACCTTAAAACGGAAAAAACTCTAGCCATCTTTCCAATTGCTCTGATTTTGTTTCTTATCACTTCTTTTCTTAAATTGGCTGCAGTGACTGTTGGAAATACATACAATGTTTATTAGAATACACTTATATTATTTTACTATAATAGTTACTAAAACGTAAATAACAAAAAATATATATATATTAAATTTTAAAAATTTATATTTTATAATTACATAATATAGTCTAGAAAAAACTTAAGCAACACTTCCGGTTATATTATAACATGAGGATTATTGTAATATTTGTATTTATACAGATCTATATTGTACCATTTAAGAACCTTTACGGTTTATTAACACAAGGACTTTTTATCATACAAGTTCAGACGTATAATAAATAAATAAAATTCAGATTATAATACTAAAACACTGAGGTGACGATGAACACATGCAGGTTGTCGGCAAATACACAACAACTAACATTTGATGGATTGTGACTATACTGGAAATCATTATTAAGGCCACAGGGTAACCATTAGAAGAAAACCCTACGAATGGTATAACACATTTTGTGATTTAAAAAAAAAAAAGACTAAAAAAAGAAAAAAATTTATTTCAACTACATGCACAACTCGATTAAGAAAAATCATTCTGATATCTGCGTTTTTCATATAACAAATAAAAATATAATAATAAGGATCAAAGACTGAAAGGAGACTGATATAACAATGTGTTGTGGAAATTCAAATATTGATATAGTGTGCCTATTATCACAGACTATATTAATATATATATAATTTATGGTGATAATGACTGAATTTTGTTTTTAAAAATGTATGGTGCATACTCAAAATTTGTATGTACATAGTCTTTAGGTTGAATGGATCCTACGGATAATTAAAGGTTACGTTCAGGAGTCATAAAATAGAATTTATGAAAGTATGTATGTAAGATGATGTTTTGATCAGCAAGCACATCATGCTCAAACTAAGTATAAAACAAATTTTTTTGAATTTTACTTACCAAATGTCGTTGTAAAATAGAAAACAAGTGTGACACACAATGTTGTCATAATATTTTTTTGGTGCACCATCAAACAAGTCCATATCCGCATCAAATAAAATTGGATATCAAAACGAAAACAGAAAAAAACATTCAAATTATAATAAAATAAATTAACAATAAGACTTGTAAAAAATGGAAAAACATATTAGATTAAGTACATTGTATATTGGTATTATTATTAATAAAAAAACTTTATCTTCTTGAAATATTCAATGCAATTACAAATCATTAGATATTAATAATGTGACAACATGAAACACTGCAAATAATGTCTGAATAAGTCAGTCTCTAAATTTTGAAATATTAGGCGTGTTAATAATTAAGCAGCGTGTTTAAAGGAGGATTTTCAAATTGATAATAAATAAATTAATAAAGAACATGTTCTCAGGATTCTGAGAAAATGGTTACGTCCATTATCATCTGTTAACTATAAAAAAGTTGATAAAAAATATATTTGTCATTGACATTTATATTTTAAATGCATAATAATTACATAATTTTTTAAACTTTTGAAATGAAATGTATTGTTTTATATTTTCTTTTACTGATTTTCGGGCCAAATGTAAGTCAGTTGTTTAAATAAGAAACTATTTCTTTTATATTTATGAAATATGATGACATATTTTGTGTATATGGAAAATTATTAAACAAACATTATTTTATGGTGTAACAATAATAATATCAAATCAGTGTATAGTGTCCCGTATTATATTACTCATGTTACAACCGAAATTTAACACTTATGAGTTTTGTGCAGTTACCCGATAATAAAAAGGGTTTATGTTTTAGTTTTTTTTAAGCCGGTTCGATTAATATATCACCGGCAAAATGATGTGTATAATTTTATATTATGTATACTAATAATAAGAAATATTACTATGTTTACAGGGTGATAAATTTAACGTAAGATACTGATTTTCAACTAAAAATAATCGCAATTTTGTAGTTTTTCTTATTTGGAGATACTTAAGTACATGTTATTTTACAATATTAGACAATATTTTAATTTTAATTTGTTTTCCAGATCTCTATCAACTTTTAAAACTTAAAAATAATTTTCTGGAAATATTGACTGGAGAATAACCAGAACTAGACAAAAAACTTTTAAAGTCACTCAAGTTTTAAATTTAAGATGGAAAGTGGAGTGTGGTAGAGTAATGCGCGCAAATGAAATTATATAACAACACCCCACTCTTCCTCCCGTCATAAATTTTTTATTTTTATAATTTTAAAAGTATCGAAAAATGGTTAATGGCCAATCAAGATGTTCAGCAAATTATTATTAACTTAAAAAGATAATTAAATGTATAAGTTACCATTGAGGTTTTAAAAGTTGACTGAGCTCTGAAAAATGCTAAAAAAGATAAATATTTAGTAATTTTATAATATTTAAAAATAACATAGTTTTTAAATTTCTAAACACTACAGGGCTGGCGATGAGTAAAGATGGTAATTTTAAAACTATCAGAGCTGTACATAATTAAGCAATCTAACGATTTTAGCAATAAATGTATTATTAATCGCATGCACAGTCCAGCTCAGACTAATTAAATCATTTTAGTATTATTATTAATATTTTCGATAGAGGAAAGTGATCATAGGTTTAAAAGGATACGCTATACATAGAATTAAGGAGTTTACACGTTACTGAAGTATAAAAACTAGACAATAGCCTAAAGAAGACAAAGAACAATGTATACTGGAAAACGAGATAAGACTACTAATATAATTTATTCACTGAACAGAAAATTCCTAATTGTCTGGTAATATTGTTATTATTACATTATCAGTATTTGTTCCACTATCCAAGTTATATAAAATTGAGTACATTAGTATTAACATTCAAGCGAATTAAAAAAAATAAAAGTCACTCGAAAATATAAAATTATAATAATTAAATAAATAAATGTCAACATAATATAATATGTTAATGTTCAATACGAAAATATAATGATTAATAAAAATAAAACATAAAACAACAATAATTACATCAACAAAGAAAAATCAAAAAATCTAAGGGCTGCTATAAAACGATAAAAGTGGAAAAAATAGCAAAATCTTTTAGAAAAAGTTATGTTGATATGTTTGAAAATTAAATTAAATAAAACAAAAAAACTATTTCGGGAAGAAAACTTACCGGGCATTTTCGGAACTATCGGTTTAACAACAATGGCTGTCGGTTGTTCAGTCACAGAGAGCGAAAGATTTTAAAAATATAAACAGAAAAACAAAAAGAAAACAAAATATAGAAGATTGAAAGAGTGCGTCCAAGAATAAATAAAAACATAATAGCTTAGATACGTGTTTGGTTTACCTAAAGATATCATATTATATAGTAGGTAAGTTTAAGATACATGAAATGAATTAAGGATAAAGATTTAAGTTTAAATGGTTATCTCAAGTTATTTATTTTTTATTTATTAAAATTAAGATTTAATTAAGTAAGAAAGCGTTGGATTGGAACATAAACGACTAGCGAATTCTGATATGAAAAATATTATTAACTACCTGCTGGCTAATTTTAATAAGTTATCCAATTTTTAAATGTGAAGAATGAAATTGCTTATGATAAACTAGAAGGCAAGGTAAAAGATATAGGTATATTAACAGTTACTGTTAGCTATTTAATTTCGACCAGCATTATGCAGCATAAATGCATGTGTAAATATAGATGGTAACTATTCCTGATGTTTTTATTTCCATTTGGAATAATTTATATAATTACTATAATATGTTTTAAAATTTTAACAAATAATAATAAACTAATTAGATCTAATGGCTTATGATATAGCACATACATATTTTATTTTATACTTAATATTTTAATGTGTAATATTTGTTATTTAATGAAAAATATGATAGATACCTAGAAAATAACGGTCAAGTTCAAATAGCAAGAATTAGTTCATATCTAATTGGTATACTGAAATTGAAATCAAATACTAAATCATTCACTGTCAATGAAGTACATAAATATACTGAATCCTAACAATTACATTGTCAGTACTTCAGAAGTTCAAAAAAACTTAAACAATGGATGACCTTAGTTTTGAACAGTAACTGGTAAGTAAATTATAAGTTGGGTTTTTAAAAGTAATTAAGTATATTTAAAGCAAAACAAACGAAAAACATTCAAACATTTATAGGATTATCCCATTGTGATATTCATAAATGATAATAAATTAAAATCAATTAAGAGTAGTAAAAACAAAATAAAAATAAAAAAATGTGTTAGAGAGGAGTTTTGAATATCTACGCAGGGAGCAGTCCATTTTTCTAGTTGCATATTTAAATGTATTTTCTACTTATCTAAACCAAGATAATTATTACAATAATATATTTCTTACCATCAGCTGTAATCCCACGAGAAGCATAAATTATGATATTAAAAGAAAATAATAATAAAGCATAGTTCATAAAAGTAAAGTTAATACATTAATCATATACAATAAAAAATTGTTCTCCAAGTGTAATAGTAATACAAAATATATATATATATATAATGTTAAGAATATCAAGCTTAATTTTTCGTAATATCAAAATAACATAAACTGCCCTACTGTGAAAAATACTTCCTTGATCTGTTTTGCTATATCTTTTGTTAAAAGCTCTGATTAAGAAAATATGAATTGTTTAAAAAAATGTATGTATGTATATATATACATGTATATGAATATATAAATATACACATTTATATATATATATTAGGGTGGTCCTTATAATTTTTTTAGTTAACTTCAACAATATTAACCCGTGCATTTGCACTAAATATTAGAGGACCATCCTGATATACCAATATTATATATATCAAAATTAGAGGAATGAAAAATACAATTTTTACTTGAAACATAATGGAAAAAAATGTAATTAATATTATAATAATATGAAGAAAAAAGATTATAGGTTGACACTTACCGTCTTCAAGTGTATCTTCTCCTTCGGTCATTAATTCATCGTCTGAACAAATATTCAATAGATTCACTAACATCTCGGTAACTAAAATTATATCATAGAATTCAGTTTCAAATTAAACACAATAAAATAAAAAATATTTATGTAGTGTACTGCACCTTTTTCGCCTACAAACGGTAGAGACCAGGTGAAAACATCCATGAAGTTTGGCAGCCAGTATGGATGAGGTGAACAATTGAATTGTCTGATGTTCATTACGTTGTTTTCATACTTTAAAACGGCAGCCTGTAAAAACAACGATCAAAAGAACGCATATGTGAGTTTGGATAATGATTTCCGAATCGAGTTTCAATGGTCTGACTTTATTATTGTACACATCTAAGTAGTTGGGCGCGGAGAATATGGTAATAAGAGATGGAAACCCGGTAGTTTGACTCTTTCTGTACATTCGGTATCTAGAGAAAGAAATCACAAAAATTAAACATATTATTTACTTAATTTATTTTTAAAGTATTAAATGATAAACTGATTACTTACCCTGCGTCTTGAGCTTCATGTGCTCGTATGATGGATAATAAATTGTTGCTCTGTAGAAAATCACAGCATGCCGCATAACTATAAATCATTAAAAAACAAGTTTTTTTTTTTTTTTTTTCTAAACGGTTTAGTGAATGTTAACAGAAGTACACATGATATATTTTTGTATGGAGAAATGCACAAAACGGCGGAATAATTAAGGTATAGGCGTGGTGAAGTTAAATAATGGGAATCCCTATCCATCCAAAACATATCAACGTACAATGTTCCAAAATAATGTTAATTCCTTAAAAAAACATTTTATACATGATATTAAAAACTTTTTATTGAAGTTTTGCACCCTAATGATTTTTTATCACATAAATGGGTTTTCAAACTGGTGGGAAGGGTGTTAAAATATTCGCAACACATTTATCTGAAAACATTTTGGTTTTACGAAGTATATTATCCGATTTTTTATTGTTAAACATTTTCTTATCTATACATTACTAAATATTTCATACGTAGACTTTATTAAAACTAGAAATATAATGTACAAAATCCAAAATTTGTTTTAAAAAACACATTTATTATTAAAATGATTATTATACAACTAATCAAAATTTTAAACCTTGAGTGGGATATTGTATAAACACTATTTACACAATTCGCTGATACTCCCACTTGAGCTGCGGGCAGCAAAGAAAAATTAGGTCGGATAAGGAAATTTTGGTACTCCAGTGGGGACAAGGAAAATGCAACGGTAATTTGTGAGCACGGTTGATGACGATGCAAAAAGATACATAAGCTTTTGAAGGAGTGACCATACGAGTTATTAAAGAAGAACCCTTTCAAAATACTAGTAAAGCAGTCGGTGACAAAATCAAGAAGTCTGGGCTAGAAAGTATTATACAGAAAAAACTTTTGGTACAGGTAGACTTCCTCGCATGTATGGCGTCCCGAAGATACACAAAGAAGAGTGCTGCTACTCAGACCAATAATCAGTGCAATGAAGGATATTTGTCTAGAAAAGCTGCAGAACAAGATTGGGAAAAAAGAAACGTTCGTCAAGGATTCAGCTAGTTTTGTGGAAATGCAGCATGGAGAAGAAAAGCTTGTAGAGTTTTAGAACCCTTGAATGAAATTGACGCGAACATAAAAATTACTATAGAGAAAGAGGAAAGAGGTAAACTACCGTTCCTGGATGTATGTGTTGAACGACGGGCGGATGGTACTTATGGTACTGCAGTTTGCAGAAAGACTCACACAGATGGATACTTGAATTCTCAATCACACCACTGTCCTAAACAAAAAGTGGAAATCGTATTGCTGATGGTGGACATATAGAAGAAGAAAAATAGCACCTCAGACAAATGTTACGCAGCAACGGATATTGACCTTGAATGTAGTGAACTAAGTCTTACAAACGCAGAATGGAAAAAAGAGCAACAAGGCGCAGAGTTCGCACAGTTTCCCAGAGTGAAGAAGGCACAGTAGTTATTCCGTTCATAAGTAGATTGACTAAACGCATAGCATGGATAGCAAGAAAATGTAGTGAAGGACAGTATTCTCAACAGTGAAGAAATTTGAAGAATTTTTCCGGAGTCCAAAAGATGAACTTTCAAGACTACATACTTCCGGCGTATACATGTAGTGCTCTTGTGGTCTTTCGCATACATCGGTCAACAGGACGACCCATTGAAGTACGCGCCAAAGAACACAAAAAAGATGTGGATACAAGAGAACCAACAAGTTGGCCGTCTATAACCATGGTTAAAATATACAGGTTATTGCACATCGTCTCGAATTGTTATCTTCAAAAATAAAATGACAGCATAACGGGATAGCAATTTTACTAATGCCGAAACGTTGGCAGACAAGTCAAACTACTTAAGTGAGAGTGTCCGGCAGTTGTGTAAATCATCTTTTTGCCTGTTTATATCAATCAAGCATATTTGTAAATTGCCAATAAATTATTTGCTAATTGATAATATTACTGTTCAAAAAAAACTTTACTTACTCCACAAATTGGTAGTAGGCTTTTTAAATAAGAAATCCCTAGCTTAGCTTTAAGTACTGTTTTTCACGTTTTACACGACTTTAATCTCTCCAATCGGGGCTCAGACGGTATAGATTCGACAGTTTTGGGGAGTTTTACAGTTGGCTGCCGACCTAACACTTACCATGAGAAACAGATGGCCATTTCTTCCTCCAGACAGTTGCCAGCCTGGAAGACTATCAGTCAATGGCCGAGATTAAAACTGGCGACTATGCGTTATAACATTGCCACTTTATCTCACTCAGACACGCGTCTGCCCCTCTAAGTACTTCCTTGTGATTTTTTTTCACATTTGAATAACAACCATTTAAATTTGAAAACTTGAAGACTAATTGAAAATTAAAATTTGATTCAATTTTAAAAAAAAATTCTTAAAGCTGAAATGTGTACCCTTTAAAATCACTCTCTTGATATTTCACGATAACAGTTATTTTTAAGTTACTGTCCATTAAAACTGATAACTTGCCAAACCATATTTTAGTTTTACTAATCTTTTTTTCAAATTGAAAACATTTTAATTAGTTAAGCTTCAAATTTCCCATGTCAATGAAATGAGAATATACTTAAGAGTTGAACTAGGGATCTGTAATTTTAGGTATTTATTATTTTAGGCTCCTATCAATTGAAAGGTTAAGTCGTAGAAAAAAAATGGGGGGGGGGGGAACAGTAATATACATTTTAAATTAGAATAATGGAAAAAAACATGTTTGGGTCGAATACAGCAAAGAAAAAAGATAGAATAAGATTTCTAATATTTTAGATATTTTATTCTAATATATTGTAGCTTTGTAGGTATATCTGCTTAGTTGCTTATAAGTACCCTAATAGTTAAAACAAACGATTGATTGCGCCTATTAGCATTTAAAATGTAACTAAGAACAGTGGTGTATCCGTGTAAGTGTGGGGATTTCATACTTACAGCTATGTTTTGAATAATGGTTATTTAAAGTAGATGTTTTACAACCCCTTTTTTTTAACCTAATTTTGTTTATCATTCGTTGTGTAACTGACCTAGCAGTAATCTGCTAAAGCGGTGAGTAAGAGTGAATAAATAACGATGTTGATGAGTATAATTACCTGTAGAAATACGAACAGCCCCTAACACTATTGTGACTGAAATGTTCGGCGTTTTTTTCGCTGCCAAAATCTTCAAGTGGATCCGACCACAAAAGATCACACATGGGACCAAAAGCTGGAGGCTCTTTGAACCGATCCAACTGCCAATTGATGAGATACATTAGTTATCTGTGTGTATGAGAATACTTTTTAGCAAAAAAACTTACCCTTCTAATATCATCTAGATTATGTATTTCTGGCGACAGTCCACCGTGAACACATAGGAATTGTTGATTCATGAGCGCAGCTAGTGGCAGACAATCGAATGCCTCCATACAAGCGTCATACACCCGCTCGGAATATTTTATTTTACCTAGAAAAAATAAAAAACCTTTGTTAAGAAATACAAAATTTAGATAACAAAATTGGTCTAGTATTTTGACACTGGTTTGGGTTGACAACCCCTTAGAATAAGGGATGAAAACGTTTTCTTTATTTTGCTTTTTCTAGCAAATTTTTAGGACGAAGTCTGAAAAATCAGACAAAAGATAGATCTCTAGTGTGGGGCTGTAACATAAACAGTTTTAATAAAAAAAAGGTAAAATATAAATTATTTATGTCAATTTCTAGGTGGTTATGTGTCCGTGAATCAACGGTGAACAGATATTTGAAAATATTTTCATTACATTGTTAATTACGATATATGAGTAACTATGGCAATAAATTATTAGAGACAAACAATCAACCCAATTCGTATCCAATTTATAAGTAAAATACATTTTTATCATTAGGTTTATATCGATATTTGTACTTCTAACAATACAGATTCGCATCGGGGAGTTTTTTTAAAAGTGATTTTATCAATTTCAGTTATAATAATTCATATAGACCAGTAGCCACCCCCATCCCAATATACTTTGTCCTCCCTATCCCCCCAATCTCACTTTACTGTTTTTTTTAATTATATATCTATTATTCCTAAACGGATGCAAATTAAAAACCATTTATCATTGAAAATTTCAAACGAAAACTTTAGTCCTCAACATGCGTTTCTTCGATGTAAAGTGACCAGGCTTTTCACTCGTTTAGCCCTTACAAAACCCGATTAAATGATCAAAACCGTAAACCCAATTAACCCGAATGATTCTGATGACATATAACCCGATACACCCAAAACCGAAATTAAATTCCAGTTTTCACCCATAAATCAGTATACAAAAAATATTACATTTTCGAGTGACATATGAATTGGTATGTATATATTTCAAGATGAATTGAGTTTTAAGGCTCTCGCTGTTCATTATGAACGACCTAACATTAACTCGAAAGCCTATACTATAAAAGGGTAGTTTAAAAAAATTCCGCACTGCAGATACAATCAGGAAGACAACATAGATTCTAGTCTTAAAATGAAGACATTTTAGAAGAAATATTGGAAATTTATGTGCCTGCGAAATCCGATTGCCCAGTAAAATTGAGAACTAAAAACTGATTGGCTGCATTTGCTCTGTTGCGTACAATAATTTTTTTTTTTTTCAGTAAAGAAGGACAATAATTTGGAGGGTGCATAGATATTTGAATTACCCAACACGGGAATATTTAACTGCGTTTTAATATAATACATTTGATTTACTTACATTCTTGTTTAAATGTAAAGTATTCGGTTAGATGTCTACATTCGTGGTTTCCTCTTAATAGAAACAATGTAGTGGGATGACATAACTTCAAAGCCCATAAGTAGAGAACACACTGAAAATAAACAAGAGTCAAGAGTTAGTGAATAATTATTAACGCCCACATACTATTTTTAAAGCGTTTTAAATACTAGAAAATTGAACACACACATGGAAATAATAAATTTGCATATAGTATCAATAGTATGGTTGAGCGTACACTTTGTTCTCTGTTGTAATTAAAAAAAAATAAATATACAGTCCAAAATAACATTAAGATTAATTTAATTAAAATGTTGTGTTTTTATGCAGGGACGTCATTCGAAAGGAGTAAGGTTGTGTGGTGTCAATCCTTCAAGTGGCCTTAAATTGGTCTGGCCTGGTAAGTAATTTTATACAATTTCACATTTACCTTAACTTTTTACCAATTCGATTACATGAAGTACTTAATTTTTTTCCTTATCATTCTTATCACTTTTTAAATTTATAAGTGCATATAAGAATTGTTATGAAAGGTTATATCTTGTACACTTTATTCACTTATTTTTCTTAATACTTAGTTATATTTTTCCTTTTAACGAATAAGTAAAAATTAATAAATAATAAAATATTTAAAAAAAAACCTTCATCACAAAATAATAATAATAATAATATATTTCAGCAGTTGACTTTTTTTCCGTAGTGAAGGGTTTTTAAAATACTGCATTATTTCATAACTTATAAAATATTACATCACAAGTGTTGCTCGGGTTTTCCTAGATTTCTTCTAACGGTGGTTATGGTAATTACGTAATAACTAATAAATTAAAAACAGTAGTAATAATTAAGGGCGGTGACATTTGTTTTAAATGACCTTGACCTTGGCAATGTAGTAAATGGCCTTCTTGACCACTCGCAAATACTGGAAATATCTGAAATGACGCTGCTATTTTTAAAAAAACATTTCTAACATTGATAATTAAAAATATTGATAAACGTAAATGATAATGTTTAGAAAAATGTTATAGAATGTACACTGTAGTATGGTTAGCAATTAAAGAAAACAAATTATTTAAAAATCCGTGTGTATACGTTACCTCTATGCTGAAATACCCTCTGTCGACATAGTCGCCCAGAAATAGGTACTTTGTGGTTGCAGGAGGACCGCCGACTTCAAAAAGCTTCATTAAGTCATAAAACTGGCCGTGAATATCGCCACAAACTGCACATCAAAAGTTTATATAATTTAATAACATATTTTTTGAAAAATCAAAAGACGATATTGATATGTAACATTTAGTCGATACATTTATATATATTCAATAAGAAGAAGATATTGTGAAAATAATAACAACACCCAGGTATTGGATTATCCTTATTATTTAGTATTTGGACTGATCAATGCGGAGTAGCGAAGTTGAAAAAAGTCACTCCTTCACAATTCACACATGAAATTTTGAAAAACAAAAAAAGCACACGAGTCTGTAAGCCATTATAGGTAGGGGAGACAACAGGCACACGGGACAATGCCAGGGGCACCGATGCCCAGTTAGTTGACACGCTACCATCTTCGGACCGCGACATAATTATTCTAAAGCCATTTACTTATTATTTTACGTTACCTTACTATTATATGAACTTTCCTTCTTTCAACTTTACCCGTACTCTAATATGAATATTCGATAAATAACAAAATTTCACGGTCTTTGCTGACACCATTGATTTCACAATATACAGATGGGTGCAAGACGATTGCGAATCACTAAACTCAATATATGGAACGCGTATTGCGTATAGTCGGCTACTTATGAAAATGTCCCCTTGTAGAAGGCTGTCACATTTTGTGTAAAGTTATTGTTTTGTCCATGATATTTAATGTTTTTTTTTTTTATGATTTATAATTTATACGACGCAGTTATTACCATGTTTTATCATTACCTAACCTAACATTTCTATGATTTATCAAGTATATCAAGACCACAGACTAAAATATGAAAATAGTCGGTGATATTACAGTGTTATCATCACCTAATCTAACATTATTGTTTTTTTTTTTTTTATAATTTTAGCATTTTTACTTGTTATGAAATTGCTACAAAAAAGGCTGCCTCTTAGGTCAGGTCATTTTTCAACCTGAATAATATGCGTTCCATATATTGTTGCGATCAGTTGCGAACAGTCGTTAGGGGCAGTATCTTTTTCAAAAACACGATTGCAAACGTTTCTAGTTTTTACATGCTATCTCTCATGCAACATTGCTGTATAGATCTTATCGACGACTACATATTATTATAACAAAAGTAAATCTAATATATGGGTAATTATCAATCCAAGGAATTTTAAGTCCGCAAACTTTCACTAGACTTGTGTTTTAATTTTTAGGAAACTTGTTTACTCTTTACGCAAAATAGTTACGGCACAAATATGGCTTTGCTCCAACCATTTTTCAACCAGTAGTTAAAGTTTTTGGGTGCGATTTTCAGTCCCTCACTTTTTCAAAAAAATATTATTATGAGGGACGGAAATTTTACATTTAGTTTTATAAAAGTTCAATGTGATAACGTCTTATTATATTATGTCAATAATAGTATTATATTGTTATGTATTATGTTGTTAATTAAAAAAAATTGTTCGTTTATCTGAATATTTGTTTAGTCCTTCGCACTGCAGTTCAGTCTCTCACCACTGCCGTTCAGTCCCTTATAGTGGCAATTTCTTAAATTCAAATTTTCTACTAAACTAAGAATTTCTATGAAGGACCTTTAATGGTCTTTAATGTGAACCATATGCTTAATCAGAAACCAAAAAAAAAAAAAAATTCGTAAAAAATTAACTTTTTTTAAAGTGAAAAAATGGATGTAAAAATTCCTTAATTTCAGAGAATCACCCTCATATTTAATATTAGTAATCTTCTACAAAATCTCTATACCAAACAATATCGGCAAAGCATGTTTCGATATAATTTATTGTTATGAATTATGATACGGTAAAAAAGGTCATGTGTAAGTTTGTTATTTTAAAATTTAGTTTATACAATTATAAATATTTAAAACATTTTAATTCCCTAACATAATAATACTTTAAATTGTCAATAAATAAACAACGAACAAAACTTATATCACTACATTTAAGTTTCAAAAGTTGATATAAAAAGTATATAAAAAAATTAATCTAAAAATAACGTTTTTATGCGTCTTAAAAAGTATAAAATAACCCTCCGGGGATCTTGATAACCAAATAGGACAGGTGAACTAGAAAAACGTGGGGCGCATCATTCTATTTAGATATTAAAACCTAAGCTTTCATGCTAATGCATTAAGTTGTCTCTCATAATGCTGTCTCTCTAACCGAACGGACCAGAAAGTGATAGTATGACTTTTTATCGGAAATGAAATTTAATGGATTTCCGTGCCACTTGCCTTAAATTTCATTGCAAATTGAAAAGACTTAATTGCTATTCTCTCCAAAGTTTGTTTTATGTAGGTTGCTTCAATTTTTTTTGTTAACTACCTACTCGTACTTGCTTAGTAATGTGGTGCTCAATTTTACATGACATGTCATTAAGTATTATTTTACTTAGAAGAGAAAATATGATTGTGCATGAATTATGAGTTAAGGTAGTTACTAATGAGAAGAGAATGTTATTATAAATTCAGACGTGTGAAGTAGTAAAGATGCGCCCCACGTTTTTCTAGTTTACCTGTCCTATTTGGTTATCAAGATCCCCGGAGGGTTATTTTATACTTTTTAAGACGCATAAAAACGTTATTTTTGGATTAATTTTTTAATATACTTTAGTTATTTTGTTCTTTTTCGTTTTCGTATGTACGTATCTATATATTTAAATGTACAATGTTATAAAAAGTTTATAACATGTTATAGAAAAGGCTGCATGGTCAGAAGGATTATCATAAGAATTAGTAATCAATTTAAAAGCTTATAATTTTAGGTTTATTACTGTATAAATTATCATAAAATTTGAAATTAAGTTGTAATTACTATATAAATTATCATAAAAGTTGTAAGAAAATGCAAAAAAGTGTAATGATGGGAACGGGTTTGAACCTGGTACCGCTCATTTTTGAACACCGTTCACGCCCAAACGCACCACGCATAATTTTTGCTGGCGGATGAGAAATAAGTCTTTTTGAATTGCATTATAATTCCACCCGGAACGACGGACAAGAAATCTACCCCATTTTAACCCCCTTAGGGGTGGAATTTTCAACCTCTTGTGGATAAATAATGCATTGTCATCGAATTGTGAGCTACCCTGAAAGTTTCAGCCGGATAGCTAATCGGGAAGTGCTCGAAATTTGAGTTGCAATATTCCACCCGGAACGACAAACAAGATTGTGAGTTCATAAAAACGTTATAATTATAAAAATGGGTAAAATTAGTAAATATTCGTATTGCTAGGATTGTGATTTAAACTTATTACTGTTTACTTTATTTTGAAAATCGTGCTACTGACCTAGTTGAGCCTATACATTTTTGTACTATGTTACCAAAAATGATGATACACTGAATGTTAGGTTTCTGGCCCAAGCGACAGCCTTCAGGTACTAAATACAATGTTATCGGGAAAAAAGGACAAAAACGCCTATTTTATGTTATATTTTCATTTTCTGGTAGCAATTTTAACAGGTATGAACTTTTAAGTATAGTGTACGTGTCCAAGCTATAAAACCATCAACAAGTTATGCATTGATTAGTGCACAAGTATCGAAGTCCTATGCTGAATCCGATTTAAACTTCAAGCTTTGTGAGGTACGGGTTAATATTAATATTTTTCAAAAATTGTTTGTGTTTAAAAAATTATTGAAACTCGAATGGGGTATTACGTTTACACGCCTTACTCCCATTTGGATATCTTGACTGAGCGAACCAGTCAAGATATCCAAATGGGAGTAACCGCAAGGCGTGTAAAAGCGCTATTTCGGCGTTGTAAGAAATACAATAGAGGTACCGAAATGTTATAATAGTACAACAAACACATGTCAACATAACCGCCGTCCCAGAAAGTTTAAATTGTATAATATTATGTTAACCTAGTCAGTTGTGTGACAGCATGTTGTATCAAGCATAGAGCACGTACAGCAGCTGGAAAACAGTGCGCTCTGGCTGTGATACGCGGTACTATTGTACGTACCGTAGGATTCATTTTTAAAACCACTATAGTTTTAAAACTAACGGTTTTATACATATAAAACATTTAAATTTGTTCAGAAAAATATTAAGGGATTTATGGGTTTGAAGCAGAGAAGGTATTTGTTTTACAATACACATTGTTATCCGTTATGATAATTCCTTATTATTTTTAACTCCCCGGCCCCATTGTACTGGTGACAAGTTATATAAAAAGTTTAATAATGTTTAACAAAAGTCGCATACCGGTAACTGGCGCTTCGATGTCGATCATGGTCTTTTCGGATTTCAGTAGAGCGGCACCTTCATTGACAATGCGCAACGCGGCCGCCTCGTCTATCCGACCTTCTAGAATGAAGTGTTGTTTTAATATATCCGGACGTGGTTTATTAGTCCTCTGGTCCCATACATCAGCTGTGGTCAACTTTCGGCCAGGTGGAAAAGGCACACCTGGAAAAATAAAAAAAAGGTCGACCATTAGTCATAAAATATTTGTATAGCGTGTAACCATTTCGTGTGCAAACGGTTGAGATTTGATGATAAACATATTTGTGAAAATTATTGACTCCCAAGTTTTAAGAATGTAGCCGAGAGGTTTCGAGATTAACTGTTCACAAACTTTATTACAAACAAAATAAAAACAGCAGATTTTTAGTTTAACCTCGTTTATGTTTGTTTAATAAGAAATATTGGTTTTATTGGGGTTATGTATAAAGTATTAACTAACTGGGTTGGGCTTTAAGGAAGTCCTGATTTCTGCTGATTATTTACTAAACGCGACAACGGAAGTCCACATTTAAAACTAAATACATTTTATGAGTTATATATCTTGGTATAAATTCACCGAGCTTAAAGAAATGATTTTGATAATTTAATGCTGTTCAAATCTAAGAGGTCCCTGCAAGCGGTATAGTTTTTATACTTGCAATTAAATTATAAAATGTTAAAACATTTTTATAACCCCAATTATAAACCTTTGTCCGCCACGTCTAAAATTTAGAAATGCATAACATAGTTATTTAGCATGGTTTGGAATTTATATATAATATTTAAACGGTGCATACTAGTTGCATCTCGAGGCCAGACAGAACCAAATGTTGTATACGAATTGCATCATCTCGATGGCTCATTAATCATAACCAAAATGTATTGTAGCTTAAAAAAAGTTGACACTAGTAGCGACTAGTAGCAACTAGTCCCTTTTTTGAGTGTCATGGGGTAAAATTACAGTACCATTGGTTCCCAATATCGTAAAAAATACTCTTTTAATATATTTAAATAAAACATCTATTATAATTACTACATTATGAAAAAATTATGATTGTAAAAATGGGTTTTAACTATAAAATAAAAATGTTTAAATTAATAGCAAAACATTGGTAGTAAGGTTAGGGTATATTTTTTTCAATAAATTTAGGTAAGTTGATGGTAGCAATTTAGTTATTGTTACAATCGTCGAATAGAAAACTGATAGGAAACGCGCCGAGTGCTTTTATCATTTTTTTATAAATACAACGTTTATGAAAAAACCGTGTAGTTGCAAAAATGGAATATGAAGTTGGTCAAATGATAAGTGAAAAAGGATAAGCAGTAAAAATGGTAACAAAAGTTGGTATCATAAAGAATTGGCGTACAACATCGAGGCATGGGGCAATGTACGTCAAGAGCTTGTAAAGCGTTTTTGAAAGTTGGTATCGATTACAAAATAATATTCGAAAAAGTAAGTTAATTTACAATAGCCACGAGCCTCCGAATGAAAAAGTTTGCAATAGGCAAAAAATGAGTAATAATTTAAAAAGAAAAGCCACTTCCAATATGGCATTGTGCGAAACACCTGCAAAAAGATAACACGCCGAGTTAATACAAAATTATGCAGATGCTCGTACCTTAACAACTACAGATGTTTTTTTGTATTGAAAAAAATTTGCATAGAGTTCGATCGGATGTTTTGGAAAATTACCTAAATCTCGAAATGAAGTTAACATTACGTTAGATTCCATTGGAATGATATATGAAAATGAACATTTCTGATAGCATAATAACAAATCTAATGGTATAGTTATGTTATGTTAATGGGTAGTTTTGGAACCGCTGTTATTTAGCGGAATGCAACTCATCAGATCATCAGATATTTAATCATTTTTCGGATGCAATTCGTAGTTTCCCGGATGCAACTAGTATGCGCCTTATTTATTGTTTATTTTGACATGGCAGCAATTAAATAATATACACGTGGTTTATTTATTTACTACGACCTAAATTTAATAATTGTACGTATCGTAATTTACATTAAACGTGCCCAACGTCAATGATTAAATATAAGCGGTAACACCGATAAGTTTTAAGGCGAGGGGGGGGGGTTCCTTTGGCGCGTGAAAAAAACACCCGACAATGGTCGAGAACGTCCGAGCCGCGCCGCGTACCGCACCCAACCACAAGCTACGCTACGCGCCGTGGGATCCCGCCTTTAAGTAAACACACAGTGTATTGCTATACACACCAGCAATAGATCCAGCGACACGGTATACTTTCTGCACAAAAACCTTTTTCATCCGAGTCTGCAACCGCGAAAGCGCATTTTCCTGTCTCGTTGAAGTACCGAATAAATCTGGAGTAGTGGTGGAATTATAGATAATGAAATAGTATATTAACAAGCTAGTAAACATATCAAAGCTGGCTAATATTTTAGGGTTTTCATAATATCTGCCCTGAAACAATTCATGGAGAATTTGACCCCCTTCAACCTATTCTGAATTTATTTTTTTGTTATAGTTTGATCGTTGTAAATACATACAACACATAATTTAAAATAACAGCGTAACGCTTTTTTTGGTAGCACTTTTTTCGATTATGTGCCAGAGCTAATTCCCAACCCCATGATTACATTTATGATTACATTAATCGTATAAATGTAATCACGAAATGATTAATGATTACATTTTATTAACATAGGGCGTTTTCTTTAATACATTTAATCTAAATAGATATATGGGATGTTTACGACGATTTGACCTTCGCAACATCATCTAGAAAATTTTATTTTATCTAAGTTTCTTGGAATATTTTTTATATTCCAATAAAATATAAATAAACTACTTACTAAATAAAAAATACTAAAATATAAATAAACTTCTTGTTGGCTAACGAAATATTTCGATAAAGCAGAATTAAAGAAAACAATTTTTCCAAGGGATTACAAAGGTTAAATCATTGTGGAACATTTATATAAGTAGTATGTTTATATATTATATATTTTAGAGAAAGCCTGGGGCGGTTAAACAATTTTTTTTCAATCATTTCATGATTACAATTGAATGATTAATGTAATCATATAGTCGATGAATTATCAATACAAAATGATTGAAATTATTACAAAATGTAACCATGATTAATGATTAATTTAATCATGATTACATTGTTGTAATCGATTACGCCTAACACTGTTTCACAGTTCGTAAGCGGTATCGATAATAATCTATAAAATTTATATAACCTAACACAGTAATTTCACAGTTTTCCCTTCGTTATTTTTTTGGAAAATATATGAAATGTGCTTAGGGCTCATGAAATAGTCGACCAGCCTTAATGTGACAAACACTCGTGGTTTGGTTGTATATTTAGAACTTGGCCACAGTTTGGCATGGGACCCGACGACTGCCGGTATGCCAACTGACCCATGAGCCTACGACGCGTTATTATTGCAATACCCCAAAAACTATTTTATAGTTTCATATTTATTACTATTACTACGGTTATAATATTTTACTATTATGTATTTTGCGGATTATACGGTTACACGGGTCTATGCGTGTAACGCTACTAAATTTAACTCATAATCAGTGTCACGAAATTGAATAACGGCAAGGGAACAACAGACGCAAACGTGTATAATATAATAGTTGTAATAATACAAATTATTGTTATTACCAAACTCTTATATTATGTCCTGTGACATGAGCGGAAATTAGTATGATCTATACTTGGTTTATTGTAATTATCCTATTTTTGAACTACGATGAAAACATTTGTTTTAAGTGTCCAATCCTAAAAAACGACCCACTCAATTTCAAAATATTTAAGATGGCGGCAGAGGAATAAAAAAAAAAATGATTGACAATTTTCAAAAAATTAAAGCTTATTTCAAACCAAAAAAAGTCCACTGGTCGTTAGAGGAGGTCACTATCAATTATACGGGAAAAGGTTAATAGCCTTGCATTCATAATTTGCCCCGATTTAATCATTATTTTAATGTTACTAATAATTACTACAAGCGTTTATAAATTACTTGACAAAGTTAAGTAGAGTATAAATCCCCCGTTTTGTTTTTTACAGTAAAACGTTATATACACACGTGACGTATACACTGCTGACAATAAAATGTAAACTTTTACTGTGCACCTAAGGGTAGGGACATAGTGAGGTCGGTGTAGTTATAGGATTGTAAACATTATGATAATTAAATGATGAATTCATTCTAAAAAAGTTTCGATGCGATTCTGTAATATAAGAGTTACAAATACCGATAAAAGCATTGTAAAGGCAATGCTCAACTCTTTAAATAAACTTAAGAAAGCCAGTACAGTGGGATTGGGAAATAGTAGGAACGGGGAGGTCACGGGTCAACTCCATTTGAGACAATTGTACATGTTATAGTGACATTCTAGATCTACCTTCGGTCTAATTTTCAGACCTAAATTCCTAAAACTTTGATTGAAAAAGTGAAAAAAAGAAAAAAAAATTGTATCCCTTTTAGAGGAAAGGGTTTATGATATTTTTTTGGTTTGCCAATGTTTATCAATAAAAATATGTTTAGAAAATATTCCATACAAATTTGGAACTAATTAGACTATTTTTAAAAAAGTTATAGAGCATAGTATTTTTAAGTTGAAAAATATATATTTATTTAGTGTTTTTTTCCATTTAAAAGGGGAAGGAATGACATTTCTAGCTCAATAATGTACCTTTCAAGTACTATTTCTGATCTATAAAGTTGTTACACGGTTTAGCGGTTCAAAAGATATCGTGGGTTCATACACAAAAAACTAAAAACACATTATTGTAAAATAAAATAAATAAATACTTTTTAAGCTCCGCATCGAAGCTATATCCATTGACTTAGCAAGGGCTAATTTTTAAAAATCAAAAATAATTAAACTAAAACTACTTTTTAGGTTAGCCATGGGAAGTTATGTATAAAATACATGTCTCTATCTGCCATAGATATTAATAGCAATAAATTATAATGAAATACAAAAAAAAAAATAATAAAAAAGTGAACTAAAAAGTAAAAAATAATTTTACTACAGGGACAATTACCAACCTCAATCGTAGCACATTTTATTTAAAATGTTAATTACTTTGAAAACAACTAAAAATTAACTACACTTTTAAATATAATGTTAGACACCTTAATTTTTTTACTAAAAAGAAAAGGGGCCTATTAAACAAAG